TACGGCCATGACGGAGAGGCATAGAGGACACAAACAACCAATTGGGGTGTGGGAAAGAGGTTGCCTATAACCTTGTGGCTATAGGCACCCGTATGGAGGACTGGGAGATGGGATGGCACCGAATCTTCGTCGGCAGCCGCCGTGGGGAGGGAAGTGCGCCTCCCCTCGGGGTCTGATATAATACACGTGACATCAGCGTATTGCATCAGATCTGGACCATCGAATTCGCTCCAACGGACGGTCCATATCGTTCGGATGCACTATGAAATGACTCAAAATGATAAAAGAAATCACACCATCAATCCCATAGATGCGTGTACACGGGGTTACGAGGCTGTATCTTAACCCTTAGCTTGAGGAGATTACTCACATATCGCAATCCAATCACAGAAAAGAGACATTTGTAGATGGATTTACTTGAAGATGAATGATTAACCAAATTACAGTATCGCTGATTGTGATGGCATCTCTGTTATAAGTATTTGATCTAATTTAGATAGAGATTCTGTATGTGGCGGCCATGACGACAATGACGACGGAACTGGCAAAGAGTTGCAAAGAGACAAGACATGATTCTGGGGATGCCTGGATGCAAATTGGACCTTGAGGCCAATACAAAAGAGTCTTGTGCCGACCTCATGGAGTTGGTGGAAGGAGATACGACTATCTGTATGAGCACGTACATCGTACCGTTAGTCGTCTTCTCTTCTTGAGACTCCAATGGTAAACCATGCATTTTATATTAAAATGGTCCTCTCATCTTGTAATTTCCATATATATCTTTATTTCCTCATAAATACGTCCATTTCTGCAAGAAGACAATTAAACAAGGAGATATGCACATCTTAGTACGCAGGTTGAAGTGACAAACGCAGAAATATCTAAGAATATCCGGTTTAAATGAGGGAAATTATGCGTGTAAAATCCACTCACTAGTCACAGAGGTGACAAGAGAATCGTACTTATCAAGGCATATTAGAATGTATGTGTTTGCCTCCTCGCACAGAGCGGATGTGTGACTGCTGCCAAGAGTAGAAAGGTAATATTCACCGCATTGTATTGATAATAGGGCCTGACCCTTTATATACAGGAGAGTACAACAGATCGGGGGTCATGGCCTAGCTCTACGTGGCCACGATCACCTCGTGGGTAGTGGGCGTGCAGACATGCCCGAGTCTGGCTCGCGAGAGGACGAGGTCTTCCAACAGCCCCCCGCAGCCACAGCAGGGTCTTCGACGATGTTGAGGCTGGACCGGAACTTTGTGAATATGGCAGTCAGCAGCCCCTTGGTGAAGATGTCTGTGAACTGGGACGTCGAGGGCACGTGGAGTACGTGCACGTCGCCAAAGGACACACTCTCGCAGAAGAAGTGGAGGTCGATCTCCACGTGTTTGGTGCGCTGGTGTTTACCGGGTTGGAGGAGAGGTACATGGCGCTGACGTTGTCGCAGTAGACGATCGTCGCGCTCGCCGGCGGCCGGTGCAGCTCATGAAGGAGTTGATGAAGCCAGCATGTGTCGGCCACGGCGTGCGCCACCACGCGGTACTCAGCCTCCAAGCTTGAGCGCGACACCGTGTGCTGCCTCTTGGAGGACCAAGAGACGAGATTGTCACCGAGGAAGAGGCAGAAGCCTGACGTTGAGCGCCGCGTGTCCGGGCATCCTGCCCAGTCGGCGTCGGAGTAAGCCACGAGGTTGGTGCCGCTGCTGCTGCGTCGCAGGTGAAGCTAGAGATGAGCGGAGCCGCATACGTACCACAGCAAGCGCTTGAGAAGAGTGAAGTGTGCCTTGTGCGGATCATGCATGAACAAGCATAATTGATGCACGACATATGGGAGGTCCGGCCGCGTCAGTGTCAGGTATTGCAAGGCGCTAACCAAACTCCGGTACAGCGCGGGGTCGGAGACGGGAGCACCGGCGAGCGATGAGAGCTTGCTTTGGTATCGGCTGGCGTGGCGACGGGCTTGCAATTGAGCATGGCGGCGCGATCGAGTATCTCGAGGGCGTACTGCTGCTGCAAGAGGAAAAGCACGGAGCTGGTGCGGTGCGTGGTGATGCCGAGGAAAGTGGTACAACTTGCCAAGATCGGTCATGGCGAACTCAGCATGCAGAGCGGCTATGGTGGAGCGTAGCAGGTGGGTGGAGCTAGCGGTGAGCAGGATATCGTCTATGTACATCAGGAGATACACAGTGTCGGCGGCGCTGTGGAGTATGAAAAGCGAGGAGTCGCATTTGGACGCATGGAAGCCGAGCGACAGGATGAAGGCGTGGAAGCGGTGGAACCATGCCCGCGGCGCCTGGCGCAGCCTGTAGAGAGATTTGCGGAGTTGGCAGACGTGTGTGGGCCGAGCGGCATCGATAAACCCCGCGGGTTGCTGGCTGTAGACGATGGAGTCGAGCTCACCATGTAAGAAGGCGTTCTTCACGTCCAGTTGGTGAATGGGCCAGTTCGACGATACAGCGAGGCTGAGGACGACCCCGATCGTCGATGGCTTCACCACTGGACTAAAGGTTTCGCCGAAGTCGATGTCGGGTCGCTGAGTGAATCCGCGGAGCACCCATCTCTCTTTGTAACAGGCGAGAGTGCCGTCAGGATGCAGCTTGTGGCGAAAGACCCACTTCTCTGTCATCATATGAGTACATGCAGGACGAGCAACAAGAGACCACATATTGTTTTGCAACAGAACACGATACTCATCACACATGGCGGCATACCAGTTCGGATCCTTAAGAGTTTGTTTGTAGGTAGAAGGGATGGGTGAGATGGCGGTACTGGTGACCTCGGCGATAAGAGAATGAGGGGAGAAGAGGGCTTTAGGTTGCAGAAAACCGGACTTCCCCGAGTCTGCATGGTGTGGGCGTTACGGCGCGACGTGATTGGTACGACGCGGGGTGGCAAGGGACGGCCAAGTTGCGAGCATGAACTGGCCGGGGGGTACGGTCGCTGTCGCAAGTGGCCGACAACGGGCTAGGGGAAGGTACTGAATTGGCGGGTGGTGAGCCGCATGCGGGGGGGTAGTGTGCGCAGGTCCCGGAGGAGATGGGCGTGCAGGTCTGGCGGGAGGCGATCCCGACGGGGATGGGGGGCCGCTGGGTTGGTTGGGGCGTACGAGGTAGGTGTGCCGGTGGGTACGGTCAGATTGGATGCGAGGTAATCGAGGAGGATCGGTTGTGGGGATCTGGTCACGGGATTGTTTGTGGCGTGGGAGGCTGGTGTGGTATCACTGTATGGGAAAATACTCTCGTCGAAAATGATGTGTCGGGAAGTGATTACTTGCCGCGTCTCGAGGTGAAGGCAACGATAGCCTTTGTACTCAAGAGGGAGACACGCAACGACGAGACTGCGGGGCTAATTTGTGGGGCGTGGTGGCATATAGGTTAGGGTAACAGAGGCACCCAAAGGTACGCAAATGATCGTACGTGGGGGGTACGCCATGCAACATAAAATGAGGAGTGTTGTTGTCAATGGCACGCGAAGGACAAAGGTTGAGAAGATGAGTGGCTGTGTTGAGACTTTCCACCCAAAATTCCGGCGACATATGAGCTTGGAGAAGGACGGTGCGCATGATGCCGTTAGTGGTGCGGATGGCCCTCTCAGCTTTGTCATTTTGGGGGGAGGTGTGCGGGCAGGAGAGACGGAGAGAGATGCCGTTCTCAGAGAGGAAGGAGCGTAAACGAACGTTGAGGGATTCATCCCAGTTGTCACACTGAATACATTGAATGCAAAGATAAAACTGCGTGAGCACATAGGCATAAAAGCATATGAGAATGTCAGCAGCATCAGACTCGTGACCGAGGGGGAAGCTCCATGAGTAATGGCTAAAATCATCAACTATTATGCATAGCCGGAACAGCTAGGAATAGGAACCGGTGATGTCCACAAGTCACTATGGATAAGCTGAAATGGAGAAGTAATAAATGTACTAGAGGTAGGGAAAGTTAGCCGTGGCTGCCGCCCTAGCTGGCAAGCCTCACAAGTGGCCAAGGGAGGAATGCCGGAAGTACATAAAAGGAAATCTTTAGCTAAGCTAGATAAGGAGGCGCGGCTAGGATGCCCTAAGCGCCGATGTCACAGGTCGCCCACGTCAGCAGTGAGAGCGGTAGGTGACTCGCCGAAGAACGGGTAGAGGACGGTGGAGCTATTTGACCTCATGAGAGGCGTCCTGGTCGCTAGATCCTTCACAAGAAAGCCATGAGAGTCAAACTCGACAGAAACAGAATTGTCAGTGGTAAATTGTCGAACAGAGAGAATGTTCTTAATGACGGAAGGGGAGAAAAGAACATGGTTGAGAGAGAATGGGCAGGGTGGGAGAGATGCGGTGCCGGTAGCCAGAACAGGCATGTACGAACCATCGCCTACCACTATGGATGGGTGCTCTGAAGAAAAACAAGACAAGCTCAAGTTACCTGCGTTGTTGGTGATGTGGCTCAAGGCGCCCGTGTCGAGGTACCACTCTCCGGCGCCAGCGGGCTGCAGGGACATGTTGGTCATGGCGGTGTGGAGCAGCCCAGTCTAGTCCCATGAGGGTGGTGGCGGAGTGGCGAGCTGGGGTGGTGACGGTGCTGCGCCGTATGGTGGAGTCGTGCCGTACGCCGGAGGCGCGCCGTAGACCATGGGGTAGGCTTGGTGTGGGACGCCGGGTCGTGGAGCGAGCATGCCCGCGGCGTTGGGCGGCACCCAGGGATCGCGGCCAGCGGAAGGGAACGGGGTGCCCCACGAGGCGAAATACCCCATCCAGGGCTGCTGCGACAAAGGGAAAGCAGTTGGAGGCCCGCCACGTCCGCCGTAGTCGTGTCCATGGCCACGCCCCCCACGTTCGGAGGGGATGGAGCGATCTGCCTGGTGTGGCTGCTACTGTGCCCCACGGTCTCCTGATCCAGCGGTCCCCGAGCCGCCAGCGCCCGAGGAGGAGCCACCGGTAGTGGCGATGAGGGCGGTGGTACCCGCGGTGCGGGCACATGCATCCAAGTTGATTTCCTCCAGCATCATCCTGGAGCGGGTCTAGACAAAGTTGGGGAACGACACCTGCATTGGGAGCAGCAACACCATCACCTGGAACCACGAAGAGAGCCCGCAGATGAGCTGCAGGGTCAGAGTCTTGTCGGAGACGTGCTCGTCGAGCTTGTCGAGCTCATCGGCGAGCGCCTTGAGGCGCCGGCAGTACTCACCTATCCGGAGGTCGCCCTGGACTGTGGACCGGAATGCGGCGTTGGACCATGGACCGGAACACGGCCTCGACGTGAACGGCACGGCCCGCGAGGTTATCGTGGAAGAAGGCATTGAGGAGCACCCAGGCGTGATATGCAGTGGTATCTTGGGCAGAAATGACATTCGGAGGTCGCCCTGGACTGTGGACCGGAACGCGGCACTGACATGAATGGCACGGCCCGCGAGGTTATCGCGGAAGAAGGCATCATGGATCACCCATGCGTGATATGCGGTGGTATCTTTGGCAGAAATGACATCATAGAGCTCATTGGTAATCGTACCGTAGATCATGAGAAGGATCTGGAAATCATCTTGGCACCACTGAGACGTCTGCTGGAGGGGCTCGAAGTGGACGAGGACGTGGCTCTCCACGCCGGACTTGCGAAAGACGAAGGACATGATGCAGCGCCACTTCGAGTAGTTGCCGGAGATGGGATCCAGCTTGAAGTCGATGTGCACCCCGATGTTGACGGCATGTATCGAGGGCGGCAGCACAGTGGAGGAGGAGGTGCCATCAGAGAGGGCCGCCCCGAGCGGTGACACGGTGAGGTTCAGCGAAGCGGTGGCTGGGGGAGCAGTGCTAATGGGCAGCGGACTAGTGGTGGTAGGCAGTGGAGAGGAGGTGGGAGGGGGAAAAGTAGCAGGCAGTGGCGCGCTGCCATGGGGTAGTTCCCCGGAGTCAGAGCCGGCGTCAGAGGCATGAGAGCCGGTCATGGAAAGGAAGGAAAGAAATCGCTCTGGTGCCAAGTAGAAAGGTAATATTCACCGCATTGTATTGATCATAGGGCCTAGCCCTTTATATACAAGAGAGTACAAGAGAGAGGGGGCCATGGCCTAGCTCTACGTGGCCAGGATCACCGCGTGGGTAGTGGGCGTGCAGACGTGCCCGAGTCTGGCTCGCGAGAGGACGAGGTCTTCCAACACCAAGTTGTCTGCCGATGTCTTCATGCGGGTGTAGTGGTACATGGCAATCATATTTCCCTTCCTGAAAGTTGTCATCTCAACACACATCTTTATAATCTAAGCGCGTGGACATGTGAAATACATATTCTTGAGCGTGCTCCATACCTCTTGTGCGGAGCCAAGGAGGGTCACATGCTAGAGAACTTCTTCATTGAGCGAGGAGACGAGATAACCCATGATAGTTTGGTCTTGGAGCATCCACTCATCATCTGGAGGGTTTGGGTGACGTCCCCCTTGTCATCGAGTGGAACAAGACTTGACAACGGATGGATCGCACCATCTATGAGCTTGATTAGATTTTTAATTCAGAGCAGAGCTAAAGACCCGAGTCTTATAGAGGAGAAAGATTTTGCTGGTGTGGCAAATTGGGACAAGACCATGCGAAGGAGTGAATATCATGGAAGCGAAAGGACTATGATGAAAACAACACACAATGAAGAATATGTCAGAGCGCTAAGGGCAACCTAAGGAGATGAGGCTATGCTAGTCACTGCTAAGTCAATAGATATGATACTATGGAAATAAAATAGTAGACTTGATCGACACACCAATACATTGACTGCACCCTTGTATTTGTATCATGCCCTAGGACACAAAACTGCTTAGCCATATCAAAAGATTAAAGAGAAATTACAAGGTTTAGTTATAGATTATTGTTAGTATCATGATTATTGTACAATGATGTGTTCTATACAAGTCTAGCACCTTAACAGTGTGTTTGTATGTGTTCATGTTATCTTGGTATGATGGATCCATGAGTACATTCAAACAAAGTAGTCTACGAACACATGGAGAATATCCAAACAGAGTAGTAGATGGTCCTTTCGAGCTAGGTCGTATGGTGTTGCCACTAACACTTCAAGTTGTGTGTCCAAGTTGCCATCGTACCAGCGGCTCATCTGACGAGAGCACACATCCACTCTGTGGAACCATATTTTACTAGCAAAGCCCACACCATAATACACAAAATGCCATTCCTTGTGAATTATCGTTTTAATGGCATCCATGGGTCGAGCACCACCATATTTAGCTCGTAGCCATAGACACATACCATTTTAAAGTTCTTTTGCTTGTACACATGGATACCTATAGGAAAGCAACCAATGCAAGTCGTGGCCTCAATGCAAAATTCTAAACACCCGAACACAATTTCAATCCTCAAATCAAAATACCAAACACAATATGCCTCCTTATCCCCTTATTCAAATATACGACATACCTAGTTGTGAATGATATTTTTTTTGTTTATGAAAAGGAGCATAATCTCCGACCTCAACATCAATTAATGCACACAACTATCTTTTATTGTGAAGTGTCGAGTCTTACAAGAAAATTTAGAAGGTGAGAAAGGCTTTGCCGACCACAATAGATATTACATGATACAAATTTGCAACATCAATCCTATTGCTAAAATGCCAACCAAATTGGTTGAGCATATTAGATGCTACTGTCTTCAAGTGGTTGCAATGAGAGATCAGAGAATCTAGACCCTCCACACGCTGAAGTGAGAACCATGTATGGATTCAAAACGCAGCAAAGAGGGTATAACCTACAAGAAGGGAAACTCTCGTATTTCGAATTAGCCCAACATAAACCACATACCCTGATAAGCCATATGCCGCTCCAAAAAGAAAAAACAGCTCTCAAACATATTCGAGTCACTACTTGTGTTGGGGATCATCCCCAGCCCAAGTACGTTCATCGGTCAAGGCTTCCCATCTTTTTCGATAGGCAACTCAAGGCGCTTTCAAAAATCACTACCGGTAATGTTCGTGCGGGTGAAAGAGTCACAACATCGTTGCTCAAGTCCAATTGCAGCCTTTTTACCGAAGTCTTTGGAGTATTTCTTCAAGTAGAGATTGATGCCGTGAAGAGGTGTTTTCAAGAGATTTCATTGTAATTCTTAGTCATAAGAGTTACTTTGTATTTTCTTGAATCTTAGGTCTAAATCAGTATACCAGTAATTGTTATGAGTATGAATAAAGTTGCAGGTGTTTTTAAAAAAAACTACCCTCCACGAGAGACATGCAAAGGGACGTTCCTCGGTTATTGGGGTCCATACTTTTTGGGTGTGGCTAGCTCTCATCTGCATAAAAATTAGTTAAGTCACATCCAACTCATACACCATTTAATTCTACCAAAAGATTAATGTGTTTTTGTTAAACTAAATGACATCCTGCATGTTGCTGCGGGAGTCGGTTGCAATATATTTGAAGAAGATATTATTGTGTGCAATATAAATGTTTAAATTAGTAACATGTGAAACTGAAATTAAGAATACATATGACTTATCATATTTGATTATGTATATATGTAAAATTTATTGAATACTCTGTCCGTCCAAAAATACTTGTTGGAGAAATGGATAAAAATGAATGTATCTAGAATTAAAATATGTCTAGATACGTCCATTTCTCCGAAAGAAAACATTTTCGGACGGAAAGAGTACAAGTAGAATAATAGAATGAAAAATATTGTTCCATGCATGGTTTTCTCCGACAAGTATTTTCAGACAGAGAGCAGGTATAAGTAGAATAATAGAATAAAAAATATTTTCTCATGCATGGTTACATGTGGTGGTGGGTCTTTTTTCATGCATGATTGCATGTTGAGGTGGGTCTTATCCCATCTATAGTTATATGGTGATGTGGCATGTTTGCATGTTGAGATAAGTATGTTAGTAGGGGTGACTCTCTTAGGTATACATGTAGGATTAGACAAGTAAAGGAGAGAGATACAAGGCGTCAGAAGGGGACGCAATCACCGTCCTAGGTGCTGACTCATCAAAGACGTAGTTGATGACGACACAACGAAGAACACAACAGAAGCGCAAGATTCTAAATTTAGTCATAAGTGTCTGCTTAACATCCACTGCGATCTGGGAGGAATGTTAGAAATTTATTTTTGTTTAAGATAGAGATAAGAGTTAGAGATAGAATAAGTTTAAATCATGTATGACTCGCCCTTTACTCTTCAAATCCCTCTCATTCATATATATACCTCATACGAGGGCAGATCAATAAAAATATAATGGGGATTCATATTTTCTACAGATGTGACTTGGTTAATTATTCTGTCCCAATTCTAAGGAGACTTTGCTAAGTTATCTTTTGTTAAAAAAACCGGGACAAAGGTACAAAAGTTAAAATCTTAAACATTAACAGTACTATGAGTTTCCAACTAAACTTAAAATGTATGATTATATTACTTATAAGTTCATAGTACATTGACGGTAAAAACTCACGAGGAATGAATTTGCAAATGATATGAGTGACGCTATGATCGAATTATATTACACTCCAGCAAGCTAGACAGAGAGACCGGAGCCCCTAAACTTGGCCTCGCTGATGGCATCGATCTTTCGTGCCGTCTCCGGCGATAGATGATTCTCCCAGTCCCCGACCTGGCCGCGCCGGAAGAACGAGCTGTTCTCCACAACGCCAAACGTGAGCTCTGTCTTGCCGCCCTTGGTCGCCTCAAGCCCGGTCATGTGCTCGAACGAGCACAGCTTGACGATGGCGTCCACCGCGCAGACTTCCTCCTCCTCCACACTGAACGGGCATCCAACAAACTTGGCCAGCCTCCGCACGTGTTCCGCCGGGTCTCGACTCATCTCTTCGTACCTGAAGAAGAGCACCTGTAAGACAATAGGCTTTGGGGGGAATCGGCACAACCCTCTAGGGGTGGCCTATCACATATATATATATAATGAGGTGGTATACAACGTTACAATATACACATGTAAATACAGTCTAACACCCTCCCTCAATCTTAGCCACTTTCTAATGAATCTAGAAGGGTAAGATTGCGCCTGCAAGTCTCAAACTGTGGCAAAGGCAATGGCTTGGTGAAGATGTCAGCAAGTTGATCCTTGGAAGAAATAAACTTGATCTGTAGTTGCTTCTGAGAGACACTTTCACGCACAAAGTGATAGTCAACTTCAATGTGTTTCGTTCGGACATGGAATACCGAATTTGCAGAAAGGTATGTAGCACCGATGTTATCACACCAAAGAACAGAAGGCTGTGATTGGGGTATACTTAGCTCCTGAAGCAAGGACTATACCCAGATGATCTCTGATGTGGCATTGGCCACAGCCTTATACTCAGCCTCAGTACTGCTACGCAAGACAGTAGCCTGTTTTCGAGCACTCCAGGCAATCAGGTTAGAGCCAAAGAAGACAGCATAACCCCCCGTGGATCGCCTGTCATCCGGATTGCCAGCCCAGTCTGCATCAGAATATGCTGAAAGACAACCAGAGTCAGACGGCCGAATATGCAAACCATGAGCCACCGTGAAACGAATATAGCGCAAAATCCGCTTAACAGCAGACCAATGAGTGTCACGGGGTGACTGCAGATACTGACAGACTCGGTTAACAGCATAGGAAATGTCTGGTCGCGTGATCGTCAAGTACTGGAGCCCACCAACAATACTCCTGTACTCTGTCGCATCAGAAGAAGAAAGAAGCACACCATCAACAACATTGAGCTTATCAGTGGTAGACATGGGTGTAGTCGTCGGTTTGCACTTAAGCATCCCAGCTCGCTGCAACAAATCCAGAGAGTACTTCTTCTGCGTCATAACAAGGCCAGCAGCACGAGAAGTAACCTCCACACCAAGAAAGTAATGAAGCTTCCCAAGGTCCTTGACCGCAAAATCAGCACCAAGTGAGCGAACAAGCGTAGTAGCAGCCGACTGAGAGGAGCTGACCAAAATGATATCATCTACATAGACCAACAAGTACATAATAACCTCAGGCCTTTGAAGAAGAAACAATGAGGAGTCAGCAGTTGATGATGCAAAACCATGAGCACGAAGAGCCATTGCAAGACGAGCATGCCAAGCATGAGGAGCTGCTTCAGACCATAAATTGCCTTGGACAGACGACAGAGATGATCAGGGCGATCCGGATCAGAGAAACCCGGAGGCTGGCGCATGTAAACCTCCTCCGCCAAGACACCATGAAGAAAAGCATTTTGAACATCAAGCTGACGAAGAAACCAACCTCGAGTAACAGCCAGAGAGAGAAGAAGTCTGATGGTAGTAGGCTTGACCACTGGACTGAAGGTGTCTTCATAGTCAAGTCCAAAACGCTGTCGAAAACCACGAGCAGCCAGACGAGCCTTATAGCGCTCAATGGACCCATCAGAATGCCTCTTCACTTTGAAAACCCATTTGGAATCAATGACATTTACCCGTGATTGTGGAGGAACAAGAGCCCATGTCTGATTGCGAAGAAGCGCTTGATACTCCTGCTCCATGGCCTCTCTCCAATGAGGAATGCGCATAGCAGCTTGATACGTGCGTGGCTCAGAGGATGGATCTGCGAGAGCAGCAGACATGCACGCCGCTAACCAAGCAACTGTGCCATCGTGACGTTGCTTAGGCTGAAAAATGCCACTCCGACTGCGCGTATGTGGACGTGGAGCAGCAGCAGGAGCCGGCGGAGGCGAAGGTGACGGAGACGTGACGGTCGCCGGAGATGCAGGAATCACCTCAGGCGAGCTCGGGACAGACGACTCCGGGCTGCATGGCGAAGACTGGCCCGACGACAGGGGCTCAGAGGCCATGGGCGAACCGAGAGTGGGCGAGGCCAGCTCCGGTGACACCGGCCCAGACGGCCTTGGCGAGGCGAGAGCAGGCGAGGCCGGCCCTGATGAGAAGGGCCCAGACACCCTGGGCGAGGCCAGGCCTGGTGATGACTGCCCCGACGCCCTGGGCGAGACGGGGACCAAGGAGGCCGGCCCAGTCGGCGGGGTTGCAGGGCGCGACGATGGCGAAGGCAACCCAGAAGCCAGAGGCAACTGGGCCAGGACGTCGATCGGCCGTGCATGAGCACGGAAACCGAGGCCATGCAGGGGCGCCATGTGCTCCTCATGCACAACAGAAGGTGCCGAGGATGAAGGCGATGGCGATGAAGAGGAAGATGGCACTTCCAGAATCTCCAAACGAGCCCCACGACCAGTGCCTGCACCATGGTTAGGCAACAATAGAGGAGAATATGCAACATCATCAAATTGGTCAGAAGCAACAGAGGATGAATGCATGACAGGTGGCTCGGTAGTGGACACAGGGAGTTTGGCAAAGGGAAAAACATGCTCATCAAACACAACATCTCGAGAGATGTAGACACGATTAGTGGGCACATGAAGACATTTGTATCCTTTATGAAGAGAGCTATAACCAAGAAAAACACACTTCTTGGAACGAAACTCGAGCTTACGCTTGTTATATGGACGGAGATGGGGCCAGCAAGCACACCCAAACACCTTGAGAAAGGTGTAGTCCGGTTGTTCATTAAAGAGAATTTCAATGGGAGTCTTCATATTCAAAACACGAGTGGGAGTACGATTGATGAGAAAACATGCAGTGGTGAAAGCATCACTCCAAAAATGAAACGGAACAGATGCATGGGCCAAAAGAGTCAGACCAGCTTCAACAATGTGACGATGCTTACGTTCTACTGAACCATTCTGCTGATGTGTATGTGGACATGCTAAACGGTGAGTGATCCCAAGCGACTGAAAGAAGGAGTTGAGGTTGCGATACTCGCCACCCCAGTCCGACTGAACATGAACAATTTTATGCTTGAGAAGGCGTTCAACATGTTTTTGGAACTGAACAAAAATGTCAAACACATCAGATTTACGTTTGATAAGATAAAGCCAGGTAAAGCGGCTGTAAGCATCAACAAAACTGATATAGTAATTATGACCACTAACAGAAGTCTGAGCAGGACCCCATACATCTGAAAACACAAGTTCTAAAGGATGTTTCACCTCACGACTGGACTCCGAAAAAGGAAGTTGATGACTCTTCCCCTGCTGACAAGCATCACACACTGCTACATCTTTATTACTAGACACACTAGGAAGCTCATGACGACGCAAAACATGCCGGACAATAGGTGTGGCCGGGTGACCAAGACGAGCATGCCACTATGACGGAGATACCCGAACTCCACTGAAGACGCGAGCGACGCCAGGATGCTCCAGACGATAGAGACCTTGGCAGAGCCGCCCACTAAGAAGAATGTCCCTCGTGCCCCGATCCTTAATAAAAAGATCAAAAGGATGAAATTCACAAAGCACATTATTATCACGAGTGAGTTTAGGAACTGAAAGAAGATTACGTGTCACAGATGGAACTCGAAGAACATTGCGAAGTTGAAGACTCCTATTGGCATGTCTAGTGAGAAGTGATGCTTGACCAATATGAGAGATGTGCATACCTGCTCCATTGGCGGTGTGGATCTTGTCGGAGCCATGGTAGGGTTCACGAGTGTGAAGCTTCCCCATCTCACTGGTCAGGTGCTCTGTCGCCCCAGAGTCCATGTACCAGTGGGGATCAATGGAGTAGGACTGAGTGTGTCCCTGTGGCTTCTGCGGCGGCGGACGATCAGCCATGGCGACCTGACGAGCAAAGTTGCGTGTATCCTTCCCGTCATTTCCGAGATCAAGAAAACCCCGCTGGAAGCGCTTGTGACACTTCGAGGCCCAGTGCCCATCGCGACCACAAAGCTGGCACACACGTGGACCGCCAGCCCCTGGTAGCGTCGCAGTAGGAGGAGGGGCCGAGGCGGGTGGTGGTGACTGCCCCGAAGGAGCCCTGGATGAAGCAGAGGAGCGACCACCCTTGGTGGCGGCGTTTGCCGAGAGGGCGCCGTTGCCCCTGGATCGGCGCGTCTCGACTCGTTGCTCAGTAAGCAGGAGGCGTGAAAAGACCTCGTGTGCTGGCATGGGCGTGGAGTTGCCTCTCTCATTGATGATCTCGACTAGGGCGTCATACTCCTCATCAAGACCATTGACAATAAACGAGTTGAACTCGGAGTCGGTGAGGGGCTGTCCAATGGAGGCCAGCGTGTCGGCGAGACTCTTGACTTTGTTGTAGAACTCAGTGGCGGTGGAGTCAAGCTTCTGACACTCCCCAAGTTGGCGACGGAGCCCAGATACACGAGCCTGCGACTGTGCCGCAAACGAGCGCTCAAGAATAGTTCATGCCTCATGGGACGTCTTGGCGAAGACAACAAGCCCAGCAACGGCCGGAGAGAGCGACCCCTGGATGGAGGAGAGGTTCGCCTGATCCTGCCCTGTCCAGACACGGTGAGCCGGATTATAGACCGAACCGTGCACGCTGTCAACCAGCGCAGGAGGGCAAGGGAGAGAGCCGTCGACATAGCCAAGCAGATAGTGACTCCCAAGAAGTGGAAGAACCTGCGCGCGCCAGAAGATGTAATTGTCCGACGACAACTTGATGGTGATGAGATGGCCGAAGTGAAACGGCGGCGGTGGCTGCGATCCCATCGAGGAGACTGGCTGAGGTGAGACCACCGTGGAGACAGTCAGAGGGGCAGCCGGCGCGGTGACAGAGGGCGCGATGGCCGCGGTTGACGCCGCGAAGCCTGCCAGCGCGACGTCCTCCGCCACCAGCGGCGCAGTGGCCGAGGGCGCGACAGCCGCGGTTGACGGGGCGGCGGCGGTGTGGGCCACAAGCGCCTGCCCGGGCGAAGTAGCAGCCGGCGGGAGCGCGAAGAGGGAGCCGACGCTCCGTGTCCCGATCGGCGCCTGAAGGGAGGCGGCATCCAGCGGCCTCGAGAGAAGTGCCGCGAGGGAGGCCGGCAGAAAACCGGTGGCGGTGGAGCCGGACGCAGCGGCGGACGTCATAGCAGTCGGGCGACGGCGACGGCGGGCGCGGCGGCGGCGGCGGCGGCGGCGGCGGCGGTTTAGGGTTTTTAGGCGGAAGCGGACGTAACCTAGCGTGATACCATGTAAATAGGCTTTGGGGGGAACCGGCACAACCCTCTAGGGATGGCCTATCACATATATATATATATAATGAGGTGGTATACAACGTTACAATATACACATGTAAATACAGTCTAACAGCACCTGCTCGGGGTTCGCGGAGTGCGCGCGCCAGTACCCTAGGACATGATCCCAGTACGGCCCGAACGGCGACACGCCGTCGCAGAAGTAGTCGGCGGCGGTCTCAACCGAGAGCGGCTCCAGACCGTCCCTGACCCTGAATTTGTTCGCGAAGTTCCAATGCGAGATGAGGGTGTCCTTGGGGTCGCGGCACACGTACACGATCTTGCAGCCCGACGCCACGACCGACCTCGGCAGCGACACGAAGGGGACGTGCGTGGCGAAGAGCCTTGGGTCCGGGAGCTCGTCGAGGTCCGGGATCCTGTTCTGCGTGTAGAGCTGGTACTCGAGAAACTTGATGCACTCGTGAGAACCATGGATGTTAAACGGGTGGCCGCAGGAGTCCGCGGGGTGCTCCCTCCGGTGCACCGTGGAGTAGAGGAGCGCCTTGATCCAGGTCGTACCGGACTTGGGCAGTGTGGCCACGATGATGTCCGAGGGGCGCGCGGCGAAGCATGCGTCGGCGACCATCGTGCCGACCATTGGAGCCAGGCTGCTGTGCCAGCCATTGTCGTGGCGGTAAAGCTGGTAATTGGAGAGGGCAGGGGAGCACGGCCAGGAGGACACCAAGTTGGTGAACTGCTGGTAGAGCTCTTCGTTGGTTTTGGCCTCGCCTTCTTGCGGTGGAGAGATTCGCATGGAGGGGGAGGAAGACATCGTGTTGCAGCAAGAGCCTGCGGTCAAGATAATTGCAGCAGCATATATAAACACCAAACTCTATTTACTAATAGAAGAGAGTCATTGCATTATTCTCTGCATCGAAATGTTGTTGGTAGTTGCCATCAATCATGCTGACACGGCAGTAATGTAATCCCCACGTGGTCCAATCTATCAAGGACATCGATGTGATGTCGAGAGCGTGAGATGATACTTGACCTACATAAAAGGGACAAAATCCATGGACGGTGAGAATGTGACCGATTTCTGCGGCCGGCAGTAAGGCCAACTCCAGCGACTCCAAACGGATGACTCGTTTGGTCTATTTTTGTCCGTTTGGGGCGATAATGGAGTCGTCCATGTCCGCTTGGGGCCGTTGTGCTGTCGGTTCGTCCCACGCATAGCCGCACCTAAATCATATCCGGGGTGGACGTGATTAAAAAAAGCAAAAACTAAAATAAAATGTCGAAAAAATAAAATAAACGCAAACATAAAAACATTAAACATAATTAAACATCACGGCCACGAAACGGCCAAGTTCCACAGTTCACATAGACATAATTAACATAAAAAAACGTCGCCCGCACGCTCCTGCCGTGCCCATTGATGCCGTGGTCGTGGCCGTCTTCAGTGGCCGCTGTTGTCGTCGTCGTCGCTGACGAGGTCGACGTAGTCCGACAGCGTCCAGAGGTGGGATGGCGGTGCCTGGTACACGGGGGCTTGCTGGAAGGCGGGAGGTGCCTGCACCACCTCCTCTCATGGCGACGCCTCCCGCTCCGGTGACCGCGGTGGCGTGAGGCACCAGTGTCGTGGTTCTAAGTCTGACAGTAATGTAGGGGGGTAGGTATGGAGAGGCAAGATCTTAGCTATGGAAAAGTTGTAAGCACACGAGGTTTACGAGTTCAGGCCCTTCTCGGAGGAACTAATAGCCCTACGTCTCGGAGCCCGGAGGCGTCGACTGGATTATGCGTGTATGGTTTACAGGGGTGCGAACCCTTTACACTGAGGAGGGGGGTGGCTTATATAGAGTCCGCCGGACCCCTCCGGCCCTCAGTTGTGCAGGGTTTTAAATACATTAAGGTCGGGCGTTACTGGTAACGTCCCTAATAAAGTGCTATGATGACCATAAAAGCTACTTAATAACCGACCGTTAGTGTGCGGAGTGCCTTTAGGTCTCCTGGCCGTCGAGTGGTTTGGTCTTGGTCGAGTGATTGCTTCTTGGTCGAGTGTCTTCGAGTCTGTCGAGTGGAACACCTCCAAGTTGATTGAAAGGTGATTTCTTCTAGAGATGTCCTTGGGTAGGGCAGTTGGGACAGGTCCATGACCCTACCCTAGGTACATAGCTTCATCATTAGCCCCCGAATGGATCGAGGTTTGAGTGGGGAAGGAGTTGAGAATTTCCTCGACTCATTTTACATGCCATGAGCAGATCTGGTTTCGGATCAATGAACCTGAGTGATGACAGCAACTTCCTTTTCAGTCGCCATGATCCGTTCTTAGTTTTTTTGTCGAGTGAGTTTCTTTACTTGAAAGGCTCCGAGTGACGGCATGGAGGAGATCTTCCCTCTGACAAGTTGTTCTGCTGCCCGCAGATTTCGAGGGATTCGGATATTGGGAAGCGCGCGGGACGGGGGTGGCCGTAGTAATCGGATGGGATAGGGTGGAGCCGCCTCGATCTCCGTGCCACCTTTTTCTCCACGTATCGCGTGCGCGATTGTTACGGGATTTGACAGGACCGCCCGGGCCTACCAGTCAGCCACTCGGAAGCGACCTCATATAAGGCGTCGGACGGGGGTTTCTTGAACATCGCGTTCCCATTCCCTCTTCTCCTCTTCAAGCTTCTTCGTCGCGCTCGCGCTCGCTCTCGCCCCAGCGCCTCCGCTCCGTACGCGTCTCACCGGCAACGATGGGGAAGGAGAAGACGGCGGCTCTGGAGCGGGCGAAGAAGGCGACGGCAAAGGCGAAGGGGAAGGCGACTAGTCGGGGTGGATCTTCCTCGCGAGCTGGCCTGCCGAAGGGCTGGATCCAGGGCGACTGGATCCGCTCGGTGATCCGCCAAGAAGACCTTGACGACCTAGCCGAAGGAGGGCTGATCCCCCATGGATCGGCGCGGCTTCCGGGGAAGGAGACCGAGCCGCAACCTCGGGAGGGTGAGCGCGTTCTCCTTGCCACCCACGTCGACCGTGGATTTTCCTTGTCTCCTCACCCATTCTTTCGGGGGGTTTTTGAACTTCTTTGGGGCACAACTCCATCACTTCACTCCCAACACAATCGTGTATCTTGCTGCTTTCGTGTCTTTGTGTGAGAATTTCTTGGGTTGTCAGCCTCACTAGGGTCTTTTCAAGCACATTTTCACCTGTCGTTCTCAGACGGTGAAAAAGGCCAATCCGAGTGATAAGAGAACACAAGTGATTCAGATGTGTGGGGGTCTTGGTGTCCAGATGAGAGGGAAAAGTTCCTTTCCAGCCATGATTCTTCCCGACTCAGTTCGCGGATGGCAGTCGACCTGGTTTTACTGCAAAGACCAGTCGACTGGCCTCCCTATTTTTACCATGGACCGAGTGAGGAAACCCTCCTCTTTGAAGGTACTCCCGGAGGAGAAGGCGCATGTTAGGGTGCTGGTCGAACGAGTGGTCCAGCTTATTCGTGATGGGGTCACCGGTATGGATCTCTTGGAGGTTTTCCTTCAGCGGCGCATCCAGCCTCTTCAAGCCCGAGACCATCCGATGTGGATGTATTCGGGTCTTGACGACTCCACTCGGATCCACCCGGAGGAGGTCGATGACGACACACTGGAGAAGTGGCTGTCGGGCATGACCGAAAACAAGGACAACCCCAGGGGAGCCAGGAGAGTTACTCCATTCGACCAGTCCCATGTACCAGAGAAGGTCCGATTCTGAGCTTTTGTTTGTAATCTGAATTCACTCGCGCAGCTGCCTATACTGCATCGACTGACTTTGTTCTCCCTGCTTTCTTTCAGGCCATTATCGAAATGTATTCAATGCCCAACGAAGAGCAAGAGCAGGACCCGAAAGGAGAGGCGAGCGGCAGCGACAGTGGCGAATGGGACTCTGATGGTGAAGGGGACGAAGAAAGTGACGACCCAAGTGACGAAGAAGAAGTCGAGTCGCCTCCTCGCAGGGAGAGGCGGTCCAAACTTGACCAAGAACGACCGAGTGCCCGTGAAAAGGCGATTGGTCAAGCTAGTCAGTCTTCAAAGCGTCCTCGGACCTCTTCATCAACTCCAACTGAAAAAGCGCCAAAGCATCCCAAAGTCGCAGAGCCGAAGCTTCGGAAGGCGTTGCCGAAGATTAAGATTGACATCCCCGTCGCTTCTGCGTGAGTGTCTCCCTTTATATTCACTCAACGCCCCGTGCTGTTTGTTTTTCTTGTTTCAACCGGACGAACTTTGGAACTGGCAGTGCTGCTACTTCCAGGACCTCAGCTTACAGGGACGATGATGAGGTAATGGAGGATGCGGTCACTTCTAATCTGGGTATGATTTCTACCATTCTGTCTTTATTTTGGTCGACTCAACTGCAATGTGTACCATTGGATGATGTGATTTTGTCGATTGAACTTTGAACAGCTCCTAACATTATTGACCTCCCCGATGATGATGAAGAGCCCGAGAGGCCTTTGACGAGGAAGAATAGGCAAGCTCCTGCAAGCAAGGTGCCACAGTCGACGCCGAGGGCGGAACCAGTCGTTCAGGATGCTGGTGATGCCAATCGGGGTTCTGTTACCTTTGTCGTGCCATTGTCGAGTGCCTTGCCTTCTTCGTCGACTGCTCAGGCCCCTGTCGACCCACCTTCAGTTTTTGCGACCCATCATGTCCCAGAGGACGAAGTGGATGCTGCCAAGGAAGCCATACGCCAGGCGGGCATTATGATGGAGAAGATGAAGACGGTGCGGGACGCCAGTCAGGCCGCCTACGATGCCAGCTCGACTCTCCAAAGCAACGTTCAGGTTAGTTGGTCGCCGCTTGTTCTGCTAGGATATGCTATCTGAAGACTCTTTTTCCGAAAATCTTTGCATCTGTACACCCACTGGATGCACCGATTGAATTTTTAAACTAGTGGGGGCACGCTGAGTGCACCCACTGGGTGTAGTCCCCGAGACTACGGTGGACTGCTGGCAGTCGACTGTAGTCTTTGTATTTTGATTCTTCGCTCGATGTGGTCTGGCCGCGTCGAGTTAAACCGAACTGGTAGTTTGTCTCTTCCGCTTGGTCTGGGCGAGTGGGATCAGAACCGGTGGGGGCACGCCAAGTGCACCCACTGGGTGTAGTCCCTGAGACCGCGGTCGACTGCTGGCAGTCGACTGTGGTCTGAGTTCTATGGTCTGAGTTCTTCTTTATCTCCTCTCTTTTTTTTGGCACTCGACTCCGGCGGGCCGGTCGAGTGGGTCATAACCGGTGGGGGCACGCAAAGTGCACCCACTGGGTGTAGTCCCCGAGACTATGGTGGACTGCGGGCAGTCGACCGTAGTCTTAGTATTTATTGTCTTTGTCGTTTTTCGCTGTAAAATAACTTCTCCTCCCTGATTGCAGAAATCTTGTGATCTCGGAGCTCACTTTGCTGATTTGGAGAAACAGCAGATCCAACTGAACCTTGACTTGGAATTGGCCAAGACAGAGCTGCAAAAGGCCAAGGACGACGCCAATGGTAAGACGAGCTTGTCGACTGGTTTGTCTTAGGCTTGAGTACCTTTCTACTCCTTCTGAATCAAGCACCGTTTCTTCGCAGAAAAACTAAGAGAAGCTCTGGCGAAGAAGGATCAGGATTTGGCTGCTGCTCAAAAGGAAGCTGACGACAGAACCGCTCTGGCTGAACAGAACTGGCTTTGTTCGGCCAGTTGGAAGAAGAGAACACCAAGATGAAATCTTCTTTGAATGAAGCCAACAAGGAGTGCATGTGCTTGGAGAAGGACAATCTCAACTTGCACGAGAAGATGGAAAGCATCGCTCGCAGGAGGGACGATCTGGAGAGCTATCTGAG